CCCTCCACTGAACACACACAGGCTCTACAGAGTATCTAGTGTACACATGTAACACTGTATATGGATGTAGATATTCAGTACAAATATATGCTTTGCCTCATTCACATGTTCTATTCTCAGTATTGAATATATGGCAGAAAAAGAACCTTTCACGGTGTAGATATTGGATGAGAATAGCCTAAACAGGACATGTTCACAGGTGTGAACATGCAGAGGACAAAGTGTTGACAGTATGAAGAACTAAAAATACAAAGATACTGACGGGCTATCAAGTTTTTAACAGACAGAACCACACACCTCCCCTGGACCATGCAGCACCACTACAAGTATTGCTAACAATATTCTAATGAAGTTAAATACTTGCCTTTGACACCAGTGACGTACCCTTTAAGGACAAACAGAAGTGAACCCTGCCAGTAAAGACAGTAATGAGTAGAGATAGAGGTGAAGAGGGCTAGGAGAGGAGAGAAGAGATGGAGGGGGGAGGCAGGGACCAGTCCCACAGGAGATGAACCACATAGGTGAGAGGCGAGAGATACCTTTACACACACACAAGACACAGAGAGAGAGAGGAGAGAGAGAGAGAGAGAGAGAGAGAGGAGAGAGAGAGGAGAGAGGAGAGAGGAGAGAGGAGAGACAGAGAGAGGAGAGAGGAAGGACGAGGAGTGAGAGAGGAGAGACTACGCGGCGAGAGAGAAGAGAGAGATAGAGAGAGAAGAGAGTTTCCACAAAATTAGGTTGGAAAACTGAGCTGCCTTCCTACCTCCTGCCAAATGTAATGGACCATATTAGAGACAACATATTTCCCTCAGATTACACAGACCCACAACGAATTCGAAAACAAATCCAATTTTGATAAACACCCATATCTATTGGGTGAAATACCACAGTGTGCCATCACAGCAGCAAGATTTGTGACCTGTTGCCAAAAGAAAAGAGCAACCAATGAAGAACAAACACCATTGTAAATACAACCCATATTTATGTTTATTTCTTTTCCCTTTTGTACTTGAACTATTTGCACATCGTTACAACACTGTATATAGACAAATGTCTTTATTATTTTGGAACTTTTGTGAGTGTAATGTTTACTGTTCATTTTTGTATTGTTTATTTCACTTTTGTTTATTTTCTATTTCACTTGCTTTGGCAATGGAAACATAAGTTTCCCATACCAATAAAGCCCTTTGAATTGAATTGAGAGAGACCAAGGGAGAGAGAAAGAGAGAGACAGAAAGAGAGAGACAGAGAGAGAGAGAGCAAAAGACAGCGAGAAAGAGAAAGAGACTAGATCTTCTGCACAGATTCTGTCAGACTTGGGCCCAGACAGTGAATCTCAGTAAGACAAAAATAATGGAATTCCAAAAAAGGTTCAGTTGCCAGGACAAAAAATACAAATTCTATCTAGACACTGTTGCCCTAGAGCAAACAAAGAATTATACCTACCTCAGCCTAAACATCAACACCACAGGTAACTTCCACAAGGCTGTGAGCGATCTAAGAGAAAAGGCAAGAAGGGCCTTCCATGCCATCAAAAGGAACATAAAACTCGACATCCCAATTAGGATCTGGAAAAGCAACACTTCAATCAGTTATAGAACCCATTGCCTTCTATGGTTGTGAGGTCTAGGGTCCACTCACCAGCCAAGAATTCGCAAAATGGGACAAACACCCAATTGAGACTCTCTCTGCATGCAGAATTCTGCAAGAAAATACTATGTGTAAAACGCAAAACACCAAACAATGCATGCAGAGCAGAATTACAACTATACCCACTAGTTATCAAAATCCAGAAAAGAGCTGTTAAATTCTACACCCACCAAGGAAGCAATACCCACACATTCTACCACAAAGCACTTACCTACAGAGACATTAACCTAGAGAAGAGTCCCTTCAGCCAGCTGGAAAGAATCAACCGAAAAACTGAGCAAATTGGTATACTATCTGGCCCTAAACAGAGAGTGCACAGTGGCAGAATACCTGACCACTGTGACTGTCCCAAAATTAAGAAAATCCTTGACTACGTACAGACTCAGTGAGCATAGCCTTGCTATTGAGAGACGTCACCATAGGCAGACCTGGCTTTCAAGAGAAGACAGGATATGTGCCCACTGTCCACAAAATGAGGTGGAAACTAAGCTGCACTTCCTAACCTCCTGCTAAATGTATGACCACATTAGAGACACATATTTCCCACAGATCACACAGACCCACAAATAATTTTAAAACAAGTCAAACATTGATAAACTCCCATATCTGTTAGGCGAAATACCACAATGTGCAAATCACAGCAGCATGATTTGTGGGCCATTGCCATGACAAAAGGGCAACCAGTGGAGCACAAACAACATTGTAAAATACTACCAATATTTATCTGTTTATTTATCTTCCCCCACTATTCGTACTACAACTACAGTATTTGCACATTGCTAAAACACTGTACATAGCTGATAATATAATGCTTGAAATGTCTTTATCTTTTTGAAACCTTTTTGAGTGTTTAATGTTTACTGTTAATTTCTAAGTTTTTTTATATTGTTAAATTTGTTTCTTCTCACTTTTGTTGACTGTTTATTTCACTTGCTTTAGCAAAGTAAACATATGTTTCCCATGCCAATAAAGCCCCTTTTAAATGAATTGAGAGAGAGAGAGAGAGAGAGAGAGAGAGAGAGAGAGAGAGAGAGAGAGAGAGAGAAAGAGAAGGTGAGATCGGCTAACAGCGACCATTAATTTCCATTACCGCAATTAAAGACCAAATAGGAGTTCTTACTGGTTTTTAAATTACAAAGGAGAGAGGGAGAAAATAAGACTAATGCCGTAAGCTGAGACGCACCACATCCCTGTATCGCCTTCCAGCAATATTACTAGAACCTATTCAGGCCTGTTATCAAAACCATACCGCATTACATTTCATGCATAAATGGCCTCATATATGTCTATTCCCCATGCATTAAGAGCTAAATTAACACAATAAAATGGAAACATGTAATTTAAATAATAGCCAGCTATAGTTAAAAATAAATGTCCTCATATTTCCTGTTAAAACGATTCTGTTGAACAAATGAAAATAGTCCTTGACGCTAGGATTGAGACACTATTGATGCAATTTAAATTCCCACTGTGTTTAGTCAATTGGCATAAGCACATTTCACACGTTGACCATGGGGATGTCAAGGGAGCTCGCTACTGGTGGCAATTACTATTGGCATACTGTTCATTATAGCAGGATAATTCATATTCAGTACACTGGGAGACAAGTGGAGGATAAAGGTTATGTAAATGTGTGTTCATTAGGCATTGACACTGCAAAACAAACTTTACACTTTAGACAATATTTGTAATAATATCAATGGGTTTTTTCGTTTATAATTGTGTCTGATACTTTTTGATAATTTTTACTGAAAAACAAGAACCCCATCACAGAGGAAAATACATTAGAAACAGGGTGCAATGCATCACGGTTAATCAGAATCAATAGACCAACAGCAAAACTTAGTTAAAATATCAAAGTGTGTTTTTGATATGTTAAATATTGTGTATCTTAAGAGAAACAAAGGGACTGATGTGCGTAAAGATCGGTGTATTATTCAGATTGCCACATTCCACCTGAAAGAGCTTCTGTGCCCTCTTTCTGAGGAATAGAAACCACCATCTCACTGACTAGAAGAGTGTCTCGGCAAGAGGACTATGTTACAGGTAATAAGCTACATCAGCTTTACCCTGTTGACTAAATATATTTTGTGACAGTAGGCCTATATGTTTTTGCATTTGACTAGTTAATTTTTACCTGTCAAAAGTTGTTTCTCTGGAATGACTTCAACATGATAGCCAGAGTTTTGCCCTTTATTCTATCCTTGTTGTTTTGTTCCTTCTTGAAAATAACCAGGCACAAACTTGACTGTGTTGCAGAACCTCTGGCCCAAAGGAATATATACTAAAAAGTCATTCATGGTGGGAAGCTCGAGTTCAGTCACGGTCTGAAGTCTTAACCATTATAAATCTGAAAACAACAACACTGTTTCACAACCATCTTTAGTGATATACTCACTCCATTTACAAAGCCATAACTTTAGGATAGAGGAATGATTTGAATATGAAGACAATTAACGATTTTATGTTTGTTTAATTTCCCTCGCGCTGTCGTTATCCCCCTGCGACTGTGGATAAATGGCTGCTACTTGTGCCAGAGAGGAAAAGGAAATGCATTTGTTTCCAGGGCCATTATACAGTGAGCCATGCATTTGCCCACCACAAATGGCCATCATTCATTACAGTTAACAATGACATCCAATTCAGCTCAGTTAACCCTTTACACTTGTGGGAATTGGCCTATATGGCTAGGGCTAAATTTAAATGTTTCTTACAGCAGAAAAGCTTATGCATAAGCATAGTAGTAATTGAACGGGAACTGTTTGGAGATTATGGGAAAATGAATAGACCAAAGTTGAGGACACAACAATTCACCTGACACAAGACTGAATCCAAATATTACAGAGTTGATTTTTATGTGCATTTTACATTTACTGTACTTTTCACCGTATTTGTGATAACAAAATCAGAAAATTCTCTGGATACATTCAGTAACATGATAAGAATATTCCTGGAAAATGTGGGGTAGGTGCAACATAAGACAAAAAATGACAAGGGTTTGAGTGAGCGGACTAACTGGTGTCTCCAAGTGGCCACACACTTCTCCAAAGTGTGCACAGTTCCTAAGTAATTTCAATGTACTTTTACAACTCAAAGAAGTCTTCAACGATAAGGTGCTTTTTTTAGCTGTGCCATTGAGAAACTAGAGCAAGCACACTTGTAGTTTTCTGTTTGGAACACAGCCCTTCATCCCCACCATCACACAATTACAATTACTATCTGCCGTTTTCAACCCGTATATGGGTACGAGTGAAAAGGGCTCCTGACCTTCAATACAATCATGTTGGGTATTAGTGAATGATTTGTTCAGTCTAAGTGTATCATTTCATAATGTTGATGAATGCCCGGTTTTAAAGGCATACAGTGAGGCTTTGGCTTGCAGGGGGACGACAGAAAAGCACTGTCAGGACTGGACAAAAACAAACTAGGTACAACACCCCCACCCACTGGTGGAATAATGAAGGTGCACTTCTTAACTCTATTGAGGCATAAATAAGTGAATTACACACAGACACGTGCACACACACAGTCCTAAACTCACCGATGCCAGAGTTTCCCCCGGTGATGAGGACCACCCTGTCTGAGAGGTCACGACCCTGCAGGATCTCCAGGGCTGCAGTGTTCCCATCGTAACGCTTCGGCTTCACCAGAACGTCCTCCACAGTAAACGCCTGCCGCGGGTCAAAGTAGGTCTTCCTCTTGTTAATGTGACTGTTAGTGAAGGGGCAGGGAGAGAGGTATTTTTTACCAAATGAAATAAACAAGTTCAGATGAGACAAGAAGACACTAAGTTAGTCCTCTAACTGGGCGGCGGGTAGCTTAGTGGTTAAGAGCGTTGTGCCAGTAACCAAAAGGTCGCTGGTTCTAATCCCCGAGCCGACTAGGTGAAAAATCTGTCGATGCGCCCTTGAGCAAGGCACTTAACCCTAATTGCTCCTGTAAGTCGCTCTTGATAAGAGCATCTGCTAAATGACTAAAATGTAACTAAGCTAAGTGGTTGTGAGGATGCTCCAACATGGTCCCTCTCTACCAGAACAAGGCCTCATGAACAGGCAGCTGGGAATAGATAGGCTGCTCACAGCCATGGGTCTACTCTACAGCAGTGGGGAGAAGATTTCAAATTAAATGTTATTTGTCACCTGCGCCGAATACAACAGGCGTAGACCTTACTGTGAAATGCTTTCTTACAAGCCCTTAACCAACAATGCAGGATTTTTTAAAGAAAATATTTGCACAAAAAAAATACAAAAATAAACTAAAGTAAGAAAATAAAAAAAGGTTACAAAATAAGAATAACGAGGCTACATACATGGGGTACCGGTACCGAGTCAATGTGCGGGGTACAGGTTAGTCAAGGTAATATCTACATGTACAGTAAGTTTGGACACACCTACTCATTCAAGGGTTTTTCTTTATTTTTACTATTTTCTACATTGTAGAATAATAGTGAAGACATCAAAACTATGTAATAACACATATGGAATCATGTAGTAACGAAAAAAGTGTTAAACAAATCAACATATATTTTATATTTGAGATTCTTCAAATAGCCACCCTTTGCCTTGATGACAGCTTTGCACACTCTTGGCATTGTCTCAACCAGCTTCATGAGGTAGTCACCTGGAATGCATTTCAATTAACATGTGTGCCTTCTTAAAAGTTAATTTGTGGAATTTCTTTCCTTCTTAATGTGTTTGAGCCAATCAGTTGTGTTGTGAAATGGTAGGGGTGGTATACAGAAGATAGCCCTATTTGGTAAAAGACCAAGTCCATATTATGGCAAGAACAGCTCAAATAGGCAAAGAGAAACGACAGTCCTTCATTACTTTAAGACATGAAGGTCAGTCAATACGGAACATTTCAAGAACTTTGAAAGTTTCTTCAAGTGCAGTCGCAAAAACCATCAAGCGCTATGGTGAAACTGGCTCTCATAAGGACCGCCACAGGAATGGAAGACCCAGAGATACCTCTGCTGCAGAGGATAAGTTAATTAGAGTTACCAGCCTCAGAAATTGCAGCCCAAATAAATGCTTCACAGAGTTCAAGTAACAGACACATCTCAACATCAACTGTTCAGAGGGGACTGTGTGAGTCAGGCCTTCATGGTCAAATTACTGCAAAGAAACCATTACTAAAGGACACCAATAAGAAAAAGAGACCTGCTTGGGCCAATAAACACGAGCAATGGACATTAGACAGGTGGAAATTTGTCCAAATTGGAGATTTGTGGCTCCAACAGCCGTGTCTTTGTGAGACGTGGTGTGTATGAATGGATGGATGATCTCCGCAGGTGTATTTCCCACAGCAAAGCATGGAGGAGGAGGTGTTTAGTCCCAGGGTCCTTAGTTTAGTGATGAGCTTTGAGGGCACTATGGTGTTGAACGCCGAGCTGTAGTCAACTAACAGCATTCTCACGTAGGGGTTCCTTTTGTCCAGGTGGGAAAGGGCAGTGTGGAGTGCAATGGAGATTGCGTCATCTGTGGATCTGTTGGGGTGGTATGTGAATTGTAGTGGGTCTATGGTTTCTGGGATGATGGTGTTGATGTGAGCCATGACCAGCCTTTCAAAGCACTTCATGGCTACAGACGTGAGTGCTATGGGGCAGTAGTCATTTAGGCAGGTTACCTTGGCATTCTTGGGCACAGGGACTATGGTGGTCTGCTTGAAACATGTAGGTATTACAGACTCAGTCAGGGAGAGGTTGAAAATGTCAGTGAATACACTTGCCAGTTGGTCAGTGCATGCTCTGAGTACGTGTCCTGGTAATCCTTCTGGCCCTGCGGCCTTGTAAATGTTGACCTGTTTAAAGGTCTTACTCACGTCGGCTACAGAGAGCGTGATCACACAGTCGTCCAGAACAGCTGGTGCTCTCATGCATGGATCAGTGTTGCTTGCCTCGAAGCGACCATAGAAGGCATTTAGCTCATCTGGTAGGCTCGCTTCCCTGGGCAGCTCGCAGCTGGGTTTCCCTTTGTAATCCGTAATAGTTTACAAGCCCTGCCACATCCGATGAGCATCAGAGCCGGTGCAGTAGGATTCAATCTAAGTCCTGTATTGATGCTTTGCCTGTTTGATGGTTCGTCGGAGGGCATAGCAGGATTTCTTATAAGCATCTGGATTAGTGTCCCACTCATTGAAAGCGGCAGCTCTAGCCTTTAGCTCAGTGTGGATGTATTATGTAAAAAAAAAAAGTTACAAACAACCCGAAAAAACACACAGCATAGCACAATTGGTTAGGAGCCCGTGAAATGGCAGCCATCCCGTCCTGCACCATTCAATTTCGGTAGCACTTTATGTTACGGAACAGTTTCCACTGCTATTTGCCTGGTATTAAATAGGACATGTAAGTGATATGAATATGTTGTTTATTTGAATGAATCCCAACAAAACAAACAAGTAATTAGTAGGTTATTACTGTATATTTACTATACCTTGTAATGTTTTGGGAAAAGCCTGGTAAATTGATGTACCGTAAAAATAAAGTGCTACCAGTTTTTCTTTCTACTGCCACCCCTTAACTTGCTGATTCAGGATATCTAGAAAGGAGGACTTACTCCACATAGAAGATCTGTCCTTTGTCATCCATCTCCTGCTCCCATCCATATGGTAGATCTGTGGGGAACAAAACCCTCCAGTTAGACCCCTCAAGCCATATGGTCCTCTGTAGCTCAGCTGGTAGAGCATGGCGCTTGTAACGCCAAGGTAGTGGGTTCGACCCCGGGACCACCCATACACAAAAAAATGTATGCACGCATGACTGTAAGTCGCTTTGGATAAAAGCGTCTGCTAAATGGCATATTATTATTCAGAAACATGATACATACCATTAACTCAATATCTCTGAATGGTCTGGGGTGAATGCACCAATTTGTGAGTCGCTCTGGATAAGAGCGTCTGCTAAATGACGTAAATGTGCCCTTGAGCAAGGCACTTAACCCTAATTGCTCCTGTAAGTCGCTCTGGATAAGAGCGTCTGCTAAATGACCAAAATGTAAAATGTAAATGTCTGTTACTGAGTGCCATCCTAACATAAGGATACATCTACTATAGCAGAATGTGCATAAGTAATGACAATTACACACACAGTTGCAAAAAGGCATATTGAATGGTTGCCTGACGACTCAAACTGAATTATTCCGTTGCTCTATCCTTCACTACATACTCAAGTCTGAGACTGCCATCATTGAAGTTGTTTGTGATGACGTCAAAATGAGGGTGTTGTACAAAACAAAGTAATCAGCGATTGGATCATCTCTAACCAATCAGAGTATCAAAGCCAATGACGGATTTTCTCATCACTACTTTATCCACGTGTGTTCTGGCTCTGGCCCAACCTATTGGTTTCGGGGACCAATCAGACTGGGAGGTACTCAGACTCATTGCGGAGAAGAAACTAATGTCCGTGGGCGTAGCGTTTGGCCGGAGCAAGGAGTTTGGTTAGCCAGGCAAATTGAATGGGGGAAGGTGAGATGTAACGGGTGGGTGGGAAAAGGAGGGATTGGGGTCTGCCTGGAGAGTAACTCTAACCTCCAGCACAGCGTCTCTTCTTCCCCGTCTTGGGATGATCCCACTGAGTCTTCATTTCCTCATGACTGTGGAGAGGGAGAGATTGAGACAGAGAGAGATAACCCATCAAACTAACTTGCAATTACTGACAGCAGCTAGCTGCATTAAAACAAAGCAATGCTCTACACTGCTCTATTTTGTGGCCAATATTGAATAGATGTCATACAGCCAAGGGCTAGTATGTTCAATGACTGGTTTATGGGAAGCATAACACTGCCATAAAATCAAGCGGCAATGGTTGACTATGAGCAATGCGCAATAGTTCATTTTCGCTTACTTCGCATAGTAAACCCATCCATCCTTCGTAGATCTCTCTTCCCATCCTGGGGGCAGCTCATCCTCGCTGTCTGTATCATCCATACCAGCATACTTTAAAGCTGCCATATCCCGTGTTTCTTTATAATTCAGAGATATAACAAAACGACAATCTATATTTTGCAGAAGCGACGGAGCTGTGAAATCAGAAACTCTGTGATTATAATCCACTGAGCTATAGCTATAATCCTGCCTCAGCACTTCCGCAATAATACGGTGACGAGACTCATGTTTGCGAAGTGTTGTTTGGGTAATGAAGTCATGCAGGAGTAAAGTCATTCCGTTCCTCCGTTCAAATAAGCTACTGTAACATTACGGTTACAAAAAGGGCAACACTCATGTAATTTGTACAATGAATCATGTACGCATACCGTAAATGAACACGTGTATCATACAGTTTAGGGGTAATAAAGTATCAAAATGTACTCATCCAGCACTGCGTCTGCGCACGAGAAGGGGGAGGGGTTTCGAGGGGGCTGAACGGCGTCAGCGTATTAGCAAGGGTCAGTATGCTATTCGGGTCCCTTGGGACGTCCCCACCCTAACCTTAACTCTTACCCTAACCTTAACCCTTACCGTAACTATTTTAAGCGTCAATTTCAATGGGATAGGGACGTCCCAAGGATCCAGGATAGCACGGACGTATTTGCAATTGCGAGTGGGCATCAGAAACAGATTACCGTTCTCCTGGCAGCAGGATGTTATGCTGGAAACACGATCGCGGATTTTCCCCCTTCAAATAAAGTCCCCATACAAAAACATGATACACTTTGGGAATATCGATTTTACACTCTAGTACAATACAACTGTTTATAACAGCATTGCAACCACCAAAAATATGGATAATGTTATGTGCTTTTATTTTTAATATTGTATTATTTATAGCAGCATTTCTTTAGAAAGTTTACACGAAAACTGGTATTTTGAAAGATACTGGTATGTTTAAGGATATATGTAAATAAATACACTTTTAATAAAATACAAATATACAGTACCAGTCAAAAGTTTGGACACACCTACTCTTTCAAGGTTTTTTCTTTATTTTGACTATTTTTTACATTGTAGAATAATAGTGAAGACATCAAAACTTTGAAATAACACATATGGAATCATGTAGTAACCAAAAAAGTGTTAAACAAATCAAAATATATGTCATATTTGAGATTCTTCAAATAGCCACCCTTTGCCTTGATGACAGCTTTGCACACTCTTGGCATTCTCTCAACCAGCTTCACCTGGAATACTTTTCCAACAGTCTTGAAGGAGTTCCCACATACGCTGAGCACTTGTTGGCTACTTTTCCTTCACTCTGCCTTCCGACTCATCCCAAACAATCTCAATTGGGTTGAGGTCGGGGGATTGTGGAGGCCAGGTCATCTGATGCACCACTCCATCACTCTCCTTGATCAAATAGCCCTAACACAGCCTGGAGGTGTGTTGGGTCATTGTCCTGTTGAAAAATAAATGATAGTCCCACTAAGCCCAAACCAGATGTGATGGCGTATCGCTGCCGAATGCTTTGGTAGCCATGCTGGTTAAGTGTGCATTGAATTCTAAATAAATCACAGACAGTGTCACCAGAAAAGCACATCCACACCATAACACCTCCTCCTCAATGCTTTACAGTGGGAACTACACATGCAGAGATCATCCGTTCACCCATACTGCATCTCACAAAGACACGGCGGTTGGAACCAAAAATCTCAAATTTGGACTCTAGACCAAAGGACACATTTCCACCTGTCTAATGTCCATTGCTCGTGTTTCTTGGCCCAAGCAGGTCTCTTCTTCTTATTGGTGTCCTTTAGTAGTGGTTTCTTTGCAGCAATTCGACCATGAAGGCCTGATTCACACAGTCCCCTCTGAACAGTTGATGTTGAGATGTGTCTGTGACCTGAACTCCGTGAAGCATTTATTTGGGATGCAATTTCTGAGGCTGGTAACTCTAATGAACTTATCCTCTGCAGCAGAGGTAACTCTGGGTCTTCCATTCCTGTGGCGGTCCTCATGAGAGCCAGTTTCATCATAGCGCTTGATGGTTTTTGCGACTGCACTTGAAGAAACGTTAAAAGTTCTTGAAATGTTCCGTATTGACTGACCTTCATGTCTTAAAGTAATGATGGACTGTCGTTTCTCTTTGCTTATTTGAGCTGTTCTTGCCATAATATGGACTTGGTCTTTTACCAAATAGGGCTATCTTCTGTATACCCCCTCGATGTTCAGCGGGGGGCGGAGGGACCTCCTGCACCTCAGACACCAGGAGCGGACCAGCCACCACCGGCCTGAGGAGGGGTTAATATGGTAATCTGGAGGGAGTAGTAACCTATAGGTAACCTCGTTTATTCTCCTCAGGACTTTGAATGGCCCCACAAACCGCGGGCTCAGCTTCCGGCAGGGCAGGCGGAGGGGCAGATTCCAGGTCGAGAGCCAGACCTGATCACCCGGTACAAAGACCGGGGCCTCACTGCAGTGGTGTTCAGCATTGGCCTTCTGGCGACGCACGGCACGTTGGAGGTGGACGTGAGAGTGTTGTCTATGGGCCTCTCCTCTGTGTCGTACAGCCGTGACAGTGCGTCTGACTTCAAGTTCTTCGTAACTGGGATGTAAGATAGTGTAAAATCAAACCGGGTGAAGAATAGGGCCCACCTGGCCTGGCGAGGGTTCAGCCTCCTCGCTGCCCGGATGTACTCCAGGTTATGGACGAGGAAAGGGTGTTTCGCCCCCTCGAGCCAGTGCCTCCACACGGTCAGGGCATGGACAACAGCCAACAGCTCCTGATCACCAACGTCGTAGTTCTGCTCCGCCGGGCTGAGCTGAAGGCCCTGTCAGCCTCAGCAGACCAGCGGAGCTGGGACAGCCCACCCTTCAACAGAGATGTGATGGGAGCTGCAACCTTGCCAAAGCCCCAGATAAACCTCTGATAGTAGTTGGCAAAGCCAATAAAGCGCTGCACCTCCTTAACCGTGGTTGGAGTCGGCCAATTACGCACGGCAAAATGCGATGAAATGTGATCTTGCTCCATCTCCACACCTGAGGTGGTAATGCGGTATCCAAGGAAGGAGACGGACTGTTGGAAAAACAGACACTTTTTTTTCATGTTCCAACAGTTGGGCCAGCACTTTGCGAACCAGGGACACATGCTCGGCATGTGTAGCAGAATACACCAGAATGTCATCGATGTAGACAACTACACCGTGACCAAGCATGTCCCGAAACACCTCATTCACAAAGGACTGGAAGACGGATGGAGCATTCATCAAACCGTAAGGCATCACCAGGTATTCGTAATGCCCCGTGGTTGTGCTGAATGCTGTCTTCCACTCGTCCCCCTCTCGGACACGTACCAGGTTGTATGCACTCCGGAGATCTAATTTTGTGAAGAAGCGCTCGATCACAGATGGAATGAGGGGTAGAGGATAACTATAACGTGTTGTCCCCTTGTTCAGTGCTCGGTAATCAATGCAAGGGTGCAGACCTCCATCTTTCTTCTTCACAAAAAGAAACTCGAGGAGGCGGGCGAAGTGGAGGGACGTATGAACGCCTGGCGCAGGGACTCGGAGACATATGTCTCCATAGCCTCTGTTTCAGCCTGCGACAGGGGATACAGATGACTCCTGGGAGGCACAGCGTCTACCCGGAGGTTTATCGCGCAATCCCCCGCCCGATGAGGTGTGAATTTGGTCGCCTGCGTTTTGGAAAACGTGTGTGCCAAATCAAGGTATTCGTGGGGGAATGCGCACGGTGGAGGTAGTGTCTGGATTTTCCACTGTGGTTGCACCAACGGAAACACCTAGACACCTACCCTGACACTCTCGCGACCACCCCTCTGCGGCCATGAAAAGGTGGGGTTGTGTAGTGCTAACCAGGGAAGACAGTGTGCAGCACAGGGCGCTGGTGGACCAGCCGATCGCCCACCTCTCTACCCTCGGGCGGGTGATCGGAGACGGCCCGAAAGAGGCGTGCGAACTCCCCGTAGTTGTCCAACGTGGCTCCTCCTTTACTCCAGACCGCGTTGGCCCACTCCAGGGCTTTCCCTGAGAGGCAGGAGACGAGGGCGGACACCTTCTCCCACTCTGATGGGGCTGGGCTGATGTTCGAATAATATAGCTCCAGTTGTAGGAGGAATCCCTGGCAGAGAGCAGCTGTCCCGTCGAAATCCTGTGGTCGGGATATATGGATCCCTCTGGGTGCTGGGGTGTGAGTGGCTGGATCCGGTTGCCCAGCTGGTCCCGACAGATCGGGTCCTCTCCTCTCCAGGCGTTGGACGACCTGGAGAACCCGATCCATCACTTCTCCCAAGCTGGCTCGCATCGTCGAATGCTCCCGGACCAGTGCCACGACTCCAGGCATTGCTCCTCTCCTGCTGTCTCCATGGCGGGTGTGTGATTCTGTGATGGGTGATTTGAAGGAGTCAGGCGCAGGAGGGTTACAGAGTTACGCAGTAAAGCGTCAAAACAGTCCAGTGTGCAAAACAGGCGCACTGGAACCAACAAGGCACACAGGAAAAATAACCTGGCGATACAAAATACAAGGAGCTCCACCGAGCTTCACTATCCTCACAATAAACAATCACACACAAAGACAATGTGGCAGAGGGAACTCTTATACAGGTACTGATGAGGGGATATGAACCAGGTGTGTGTAATAAACAAGACAAAACCAATGGAATGATGAGATGAGGAGCGATAGTGGCTAGAAGGCCGGTGATGACGAACGTCGAAGCCTGCCCAAACAAGGAGAGGAGGCAGCTTCGGAGGAAGTCGTGACAGGTGACTTTGTTCTCATCCATGCTGACCCCTCCAGGTGTCACACTCTGGTTCTAGGACTTTTTGTGTTTAGTCAGGGTGTGTAGATTTCCGTGTGTTGTGTACTGTGGGTAGTGTCTAGGTGTTCGCGTTCTATGTTTGGTCAGTGACTCCCAATCGGAGGTAACGAGTGTCAGCTGTCGGCTCGTTATCTCTGATTGGGAGCCATATTTAAATGTCTGTGTTCACCTTGTGGTTGTGGGTTTTTGTTCTTTATTCAGTCGGTGTAACTGAGGACGT